GATTTTTAAAATGGAAATTTAAAATCGTTTTTAATGACGGCTAAAATGTGACTGCAGTATTTATATGCCATTTGGCCTAATTTTTACTTATTTGCAAATTTCCTTCTTAGAAACTAATAATTACAAAAGAACAGGAAAATGTTCTTAAAACCGATCTACTGTTTTGCTTTAGAATATCTCTATTTCCACATTGTTCAAGGTTTCAGGTCAAACATTTAGCTCGTTTCGTTTCTTCTTCGATTAATTTGCCAGCGTTATATAATAACGGCTGAATAACAAAATTACGAACGAATGAAGCATAGTTAAAAAACAAGCATAATTCTTTCATTAACTGCCAACTTTCATGACTCTGTACGCAATACTTAGAGGGCTACAGAGTAGCGTGGCGCTTTCTTGCAAGCCAACGACGCCTTTTAGCTATACAATCTTAAAGACATTATGCCCATCTATTTGCAATAGAACCTACCATTTTGTAGAGGCGTTCACTAATTTATACCCAAAGGACTTCGCAGTACCAGGTGAAGTACTTCAAATTCGTAAACGTTTTACAAGAAATTTCAGCTTGAATATGATATTGCGCAACTTAGACTCTAGGAGGAGTTTATGTTTTCGTTGTGATTGGTCAAAAAGTAAACCCTAGCGTACCATATCAGACATGCGCAAGTGCAGGGAATAAAATATCGTGTTAGCATTTTGCAAATTACCAACTTGATCATTATTCCTATTGTAAGGTATGAATTAACTATTATACTTATGGTAACGATACTTGAACCAATTCTGTTAACTCCACATCAAAAGCCCGAGTGCTTTAAATCTAAAATGTAGTTAGGAGAAGGTCTTATTTTAAGACTATAAGTGCGATAAACTTCAGGATATTCACGGGGCTAAATGCTGAACAACTAGTCGCACATTCAAGCATTTATCTCAATAGCCTGTAATGCTTCCCTTTGTCATTGTGCTGTTACACATTCTTAATCCTTTTTGCCAGTTATATTTCAAGTGTAATTAATCAAGCTTTTTAATTTTTCCTCATTATTTTTATAATCCGTTAAACCTTTAAAAAATATCTTGGAATCGAAAATTTGCGACATTACAATAAAATAAGAATGCGTCGACTTCAATGAATTGACGCTTCAATATGTAAACGAGATGAGAGGCTGATTGTTTAAACAAAGTTTAGCTGTTGTTTAACAAAGCCGCGGTCTTAAACAATTCTTAATTTAGCTGAACCTTTTGTCTGATCATTGACATTTTGTGATTAGTGTTAAGAAGGCCAGGAGCTAACAGGGTAAGGACATTCGTCTAATTAAATCAACTTTCTTATATAGAAAGCCTGGCTCCCACTGATTGCGTAAAACTAAGTAAGATCCTGAGTAAATAAGCGGCCCAAAAGAGTTTCAACGATAACTGTGCATAGAAATAAATTGATGACTAAAAAGACGGATAAAAGAACAAAAAAATAGAAGAATGAATGAACAATTTTATGAATCGATGAAATTGAATATAAATAAGGTTCATTGGACTGTATGACTGCGAAGAAAAGAAAAGAAGAAAAGGTAAGGATCGTTCACTTGCAGCCAATATAGTATTTTCCTCTTAGGAGTTTTTCTTTTGCAAAGTAACGAGTCGCCTCTTTGGATGAGGACGAGACTTGATGATTAGTATATGCCAAAACAGAGAGTAAGTGAAGGTGGCTCTGATTGGTTACTTAATCTCCGAATATCCTTTGTTTGTGTAATTGCCCTGGTGATTATAGAGATACTGTGCTCTGATTGGTCGAGGATTGCATCTCGCAATCATCATCTCGCTCAAAGTGATTATTGCAGTGGCGCTAAATTTAAAGAATCAGGTAGAGTGTAAGACTTCCTCCCACGTCATGTTTTCATTCAATGTTTTCCATGACGAGAACTTTCTATTTAATGCTTTAAAACTGAAACACGTAATGCAAAATCGTGTGCTCAGCAATTGAAAGCACTATACAATTTTCAGATGAGGCTATTTTTTCAATATTCAATTTCGCTCAGCAGGTTACCGTTCTATTCAACGCTGATAAATGACATTGGATAATTGTCTTAACCTTGTTAGTAGACATAATAGCACATCAAGAATTCGTCAAAGATTTGTACGAGGACTCTAAATCGTCATTGACAAGTCATAGAGTAGGAAGCAAAATCTGCAAAATGCAGGGCAATCAATCCGAGCACGAAATTTCCTGTTTCTATCTTGGCGACTCATCCTTCCATAAAGCTCATGAACGGTTTAAAGTCAACCTTGTTACAGCCACTATTAACATTGTTACAGTTCCAGTCGGCGTTGTTGCAAATTTACTGATTGTCACCGCCATCTTTAGCTGTCTTCGTCTACGAACTCCCTCTAATCTGTTGAAAGCTTTTCTGGCGCTTTCTGATTTGTTCGTATCCCTAACAGTCCAGCCCGGGTATATCACATACAGGCTTTTGGAAACCAGCTTCGTTTAGTTCCTTGTTTTGTGAGGATTATGTATCGTCTGGCTTTTTTCAGTTGCTTTGGAGTGTCTTCTATGACTTGAGTGCTGTCGGCTATGAGCGCTTCGTAGCTGTTCGACTGCAAGTCAGACACAATGCTTTCTTCTCTTCGACACGAGTTGTGAAATATGTTCTGATCATATGGACCCTGAATATTTTGTTAACTGCTCTAAAATGGACTGCTATTGAATCCGCAGTCGAAAACATCCGTCTCATGGCATGGTCAGTTTGCCTTCTCGTTTCTGTAGCCACGCTGAGCCACGCTCGCAAAAAACATATCTATCCTCGTCGGAGTGTACTTGATTTTAAACTTCCCTGTGTTGTTCACTTTAATATATGATCAAATATTGAGACTTAACTTACAAACTAACAACCACTAAAGCTTGACCGAGACGCTTGCTTTTTTGATTCTTATACAAATCCATTAATATGCTATTGGAAAAATGTAGAGGTATGTCAAAAGTTAAAGGATATCTTGAAGAAGCTGGTATGTCAATAAATACCACGTTTACCGGAAGGTGCTAAGAGTTTTTATCTGGCTTTTCAATTTATATTTATTTCTTGTGTTTTCTAATTAGTTAAAAAGTATTGTTACATCATCTGCCACTGCTAACTTTCAATTTAGAAGTGACCTTTCTATAGTTTCTAAACTTAACATGTTTGAGTTTGTCGAGAGTGTTGTCATTGTCGTTGTCGTCATTTCTGTTGTTTGTTGTTCTTGTTATTTTAATTAAAAATTTGTTAAGGACGAATCACTTTGCGTAGGAAGTCATTTTTTAATACTGTTGTATTTTACACGGATCCAAAGTGCTCGAGAGGTATACCAGTAGACCACAAATGGAACTAACAAACCTTTTTATCCCAAAGGACTTAAAACCCCAACCGGGAAATAAATAATACATTGAGAAAATGCTGTCTTCCAAAATAATGTACTTTAAGTGCAATTGATAAATCATGAGAAAAAGTTCATAGGATTCATTTTTTTCCAGAGCTTATCATCCAATCCCTTGTTGCCGCAGGTATTTTAGAAAGGATATTTATAGCAAGTTACAGCATTTCCTATACATCTTTAGACACAAAGGTATCAGTGTTCAGAGTAACCTTACCTGTGCATATACTATCAGAAGAGAGTTTGCTGGTAATGTGTTTTTAAAGAATAAGATCAAATGGTAAGTCTTATCTAAATTTATCTCTGAACCTCAACAAGTGTTCATAACAAGAAAATATGACTTATTAAAAATTCGTTATCCTTTGTGGCCGCTGTCTGGGAAGAAACACAATACTTAGATTACTTAGAAAATAATATAGCTTGCAAGTAAGCGCACCTTTCCCCTCGTAAGAAAAAATTAAAGTATTTTACTACTTCAGAGAAAAACCCGATTTACTTGCTATCATAAAAATATTAGAGTAGTATGCTTGTCTGAATCTAAATTTTGTGAAAAAAAATCGAATTTTCAGAAATGTTACCAAACATGTTCCGTATCTGTTGCAATAAGCAAATTTTGGGGTTTCTCGTGACTCAGTTATGAGATGATGTCCGAATAGACTATTCGTATATCATCTTTAATAATTGTCCAAGGTTTCGAAAAACACGATATTCGACACGCTACAAAACATTGCATGGTCAAAACTTACACGTTTCATTTTCTTAATATGTCATCGCTCTGAAGACTAATTTGTACTTAAAATATTAATTTTCCTGCACCACTTAAGTCTAAACCTAGTAATATTCTAGGTGCGGAAGAACATTTTTATTTTTTTAACGATACAAGTCATTTTTCTCAAATTATTTAACTCTGAGTTAACTACTCCAGGAGCCAAAGACCACTCCGCTGTTAATAAATTAGAAAGATATTAAAGAAAAAACCTTTAAGTGGAAACTTCTAGTTTAATTGTTTGGGTGTTATATCCCATTCAGTGGGAAATGGATTATTCATAGGCTAGGTCGGCATTTTTCGTTAATGCTTGATGTCTGCCTTCGTTGATTTCTCACGCAGGAGAAGCTTTCAAAAGAAGAAATACTTGGTAAGGTTTTTTCGTATATGTAGCTCTTCTGGAATAACGCCGACAAAAATGCACAGACTCAGAGTGCAAATTGCAATCATGCTGCGCGGATAAAAATTTGAGGGCTTGCTTTCAATCCCAATTAGTCTCCAGGCATTTTCTTTTTGATGATTAATTAAACGATGATTGAGTTACTAAGATTTTTTTAGTTCGTCGTCGCCAATAATCAATTGTTTTTTACTACTCCTTCATCGTTTCATGCAATATATGTCTTTATCATATTAAGATACCAATCAGCCAGAGATTTTTAATCTTCCAAGCATAAAAGCTAGTACGTCGAATCTTTCATTCCATATTCCGGTATTTTTCATAGATATTTGACTATAACAGATTTACTAGGAAAAAGGCAAAAAAAATTAATAACAACAGTGATTAAAAATATTGCACGACAGCTCTTCTTATGTTTATTATAATTTTGTTTATTCATTTTTATTGGCAGAGTATCTTGAGGTGTTTCAGTACTTTGGCCAGGATCGGGAGGGACGTATTTCAACAAAGCAACTAAGACGAGCAATGCAGATGGTGGGACTGAACCCAACTGATTTTCAAATACAAACTCTTATCAATGAAGTGGAATACGATGGTCAGTAAATTACCCTCTCAGCCATTCATGGTCTCCTTGTGATACCTTTGTGCATATTTATCCAAATAGCTTAAGAGCGCCAATGCCGTTTTCCTTTTTCATTTGAGAGCATCATAACAGTCCATCAGATAAAATAAAAACATCACACGAAGCCAAAAAGAGCTCAAGGTAAAACGAGGAAACTGCCTAACGCGCGGGAAAACTCTGATGGCCAAGTCCAGAATGGCCTTAGTTTTGAATCTGGATTGGTTGCGAGAATGGCGCTTGTTTCTTGGACCAATCGCGGGCACCTCTCTTACTGAAGTAACATAAGTCAGTAGGCCATGTTATTGCTTTGTCCTCTCGCGATGTACTCCTTAAAAAATTACTCATTTGGTTTGGATGGTGCTGTTGCTCTCGGGATAACGTAAAGAAAACAAAAATTGGGCATTCCAAGACAGACTATAGTGATAAACTGGCATCTTTATTGCTGAAAGAGTGCGTCCTATTAATCAGCAACTGCATATCCTTTTTTTTCCCTTTTTTTTCCCCAGGTGACGGTTACATGACGTTTTCTGATTTCATTAAAACCATGGAAGAATATAAGAAACCCGACGATAAAGTAGACCTTATGATGGCATTCAAGGTGTTTGACTGTAATAACAAAGGCTACATTGAGACGAAAGAGTTGAGAAGAGCTTTCATGAGACTTAAAGGAATTACTAAACAAGAACTTGAGGAAATTCTGGCGACTGCAAATCTTGAAAAAGATAGGCACATATACTTTGAAGGTACGATGTGCCAGCTTAGCTTTTGATTGTTGAAACGTAAAGTCAGATAAATACTCGAAACATGACATATATGATACTAGACGTCTAACAATCAAAAACAGCAACGACTTTAAAATCTTAAGTATACTTGTTTCCTAAAAACTTTAAAAATTCATTGGAATGCTTTATGTCTCAGGAAGTTTTGATCATTCATTTTCAAACAATCATTTCTCTTTCCATCACGTCTTTAAAAGTCTTCCGAATTCTCCGAATATTCCGGTAATATTTTGACATTCACGGGAACACTCTCAACAATACTACTGGAAGTCATTCAGACGTTTTAGAGATTTGAAAATTTTGAGAGAGAAATCTAATTAAATGACTTTGAAAAGGTTTGAAGTTTTGAAGAATATCATCATACCAAAACGTCGTATCAACAACACGCGAGGTGTTTGAAAAATGATTTCTGGTAGTCCACAAACAAAGTCTTAAAAAACATTGAAGGGATCGCCTTTATATTAAGGCATATGTGGACAAAATGATATATCATCTTGATCGTAAGTCATAATGAAGCATAAAAAAAATTATTAAACACAAAAATTTACCCTCTCCTTTCTGGTCCCCGAGAACTGCCCAATTCCATTATCCTTTCACCCGATTGTCTTTCTTTTCCTTTTCAGAATTTTCAAGGCTGTTAGTACCACTAATCAACAGAGACCTGGACATAATTTGCTTGTAATAATGCTCTTCTGTTAAAGGAAGTAATATAAGATTCTCGAATCACAGAAGGGCTGGACCATCTGTGAATCGTTTTGTTTGGCAAAGATCAGTTTTTTCATCTATACCGTACTAAAACTCAATTAAATGCCGCGGCGCCGGCAGTTTTGGAATCTTTAGCGTTTCCGTCGATATCAAAAGAATTACTGGTCATCGCTCATAATGCACATAATGATATTTGGTGAGCCTGTACAAGCAGATTATGAGCTGAAAATTTATATAGTTTGTTATTTGATTAGGATGAAGCCCAAATAGATTATCATGCAATGAAATCGAGAGCGAATAATGTAATTGCTGTCGTAAAAATGTATTGGATGCTTAGAATTTAAAAGCAAGACAAGATTGAAAATTTCATCAAGTATCATAAAATGTGCAGAGAAAGGCGCGTGTCGTGATTGGTCAAAACGAGTTCATTATATTTCCATAAAGCACGCGCCCTACGTCGCACGAGTGCACTGTTAAGATATGATGCACGCAGCCTATTGCTAAATGCTGTGGTAGTAGAGCTAAGTATACATAAGTTAAAGAATTAAAGGGGACGCATCGATTCTTTGTGACTCTGAGTTTCGCGCCTAAGCGCTCGTCAGATAAAACACGTGGAAAACAGACATAGTTTGATGCTACTCTGGTTTGCAGATTTAATGAATAAAACCGAAGAAGTTACAATTCATAGACCCAACGTTTCGACACTCCTGTCTAGTGCCTTCATCAGGGGTGATCTAAACGCTGCAACAAGAGGTCCTATTATATGATCACTAGTTAGGGGCCTTTTTTTTTCTGACGAGGTGTAAATAGGCGTCAGGAAGCAAACCGCCATCGTCACGATTTAAAGGAGCGTGGGCGGAGTTAATATGCCAAACCTCCAAACAAAGGCGCAGGTGGTAACGCCGACTAGTGGTGATAATTTTAGAATCATCCCACCCAATTGTATGGTTAGTTAGGCATGTGTGCTCCAATAAAGCTGAATTTTCCTTTTTGCAAAGGAAAACCGCTTTTGGGTGCTCTTTTAACCGTATACCAAACTGACGTTTGGTCTGTCCGATGTATTCGTTGTCACAGTTATTGCAAGGAATAGAATAAATGACGTCCGTTCGTTGTTCTTTCGTGACATCCCGTGTGAACTTTAATATATTACACGTAAAAAATATCGTATTTTTTTTCACGTGTTGATATAACCAATCAGCTGCTGACACGTCACTCGCCTTTTGCGCCACCCGGTCAGGTTGATGAATAACAAAGTCCTCACGATTCTCAATACAAGTTGTTTCTCAAATAACACTAAAACACTAAAAGATCCGTATCGCTGACAGACAGTGAGGCTCAAACTTTCCTAGAAGGGGAAGAAAACCAATATACTAAAAGAAAAACCGAAAGTTACGTATTCAGTGGCTTTGGTGTTAGCATTTCTCTCGGCTGAGAATTAAGACAACTGGAGGATTTACCACTGGCCGATTTTGGCTGTTTACCTGAAAGACTTCTTCTTTCGGTAAGGACAAAGCCAATAAAAGAGAATTTTGTAAATTTAAAATTACGACCGTTGTTGATATTGTAGTCATGATTCAACATATTTTTGCATCTCAAGAGTTAGCGCCAACGCACTCTACGATTGTTATTCGGGGATTGTCGATTCATTTATTTTCAGTCATTAATGAAGCCGGCTTTTTTTCTCAGTAAAGGGCTATTATGTTTATGTGATAAACAAACTAATACATGGTTGCATGTAGATATGGAATTTCTCTGCGCGTGTTAAACTCGACATGTCACTCGTTCGCTGCGCTCCATATCAACGCGCGCCCATGTATTATATTCTATATATTTCATGTAATGTGAAAATGTACATGAAATATATATACCTTTTGATTTTTGTATATGTATATATATATATATATATATAAAATTATGTGTGGTTTTTTTTTTTAGTCAATCGCGCTCAAGCGAGAATGCCTGAAATTAAAAGAAAAAAAATTTATAGTGGTATATTTGAAATCTCCTTCTTCCACCAATATGAGCCTATGAGAAACTATAAAAAAAAACAATAAAAATTTGTAGACTTTATCAATTTCCCTCATTTTAGTTCAGAAGCAATTGAAGAGTAAAATTATTGTAGACCTTAATTCAGAAAAAAAATATTCAAAGATTTAAAAAAAGTAATTAATTTTTTAGCCATGTGAAGTTTCAGCTGCCTCGAGACTTTAAACAAAGTAAACTTTAAAAAAGAGATTGATAAGTGCAGATGAACAGTATGAATCTCGCTTTCTATTATGTACGAATACTTCTGTCCTTATTATATTTTGCATCCAAATATAAAACTATTTTTCTTTTGGTTTGAACACATCAAGCTGTTATTTTTTAAATTAAAAGCTATCTCAACCTGTGTGAAGACGCTTCCTTCAGGGAAAATTAAAAGAAAACCATGCTTTTTCATTTCGAAGCCTTAATAAGCCCTGAGAAGCGATTTAGAACCCTTTCCACGCAGTCGAAAGTCTTAAAAGATTAATTAAAAGAACTTTTTTATCAACGAGAGTATTGTTTGAATAAAATATGTTTTTATGTCCACTACGATCGAAATTAATGACCTAGAAGCGAGTTTTATTAGATTTCATTGGAAAAGCAAACAACTTCTGAGTCTTTGGTTGTCCACCTTATCGTGCTTCTTATTGCAAGGAGTTTGATTTACACACAATCACATCAAAAAACTTGTATCTGGTATCTGGTCTTGTTGTCTAAATATTGAAATTGTTTTTCAATCAAATTTTTGTAACATATGGGATTCAAAGCTTTAGAGGACAAATTGTCATATTGTTAGATGTAGCTGTGGAAAGCATCCAAGAAGTCATGGCTGAGAACAGTTTATCTTGTTACCAACTTCCCGATCCTACTTTTCACAAAGTAGCTGAGCGCTATACAATGAACCTTGTAACAGCTATAATCAATATGTTAACAGCCCCTCTCGCTGTTATCAGCAACCTTTTAATTTTCGCTGCAATCGTTTCTCGACTTAGAGCACCATCAAAATTTTGATCGCTAGCTTGGCCCTCTCGGATGTCTTTGTTGGGCTTGCAGTTCAGCCGGGTTACGTTATGTACCGACTCATGGAAAATCAGCATCGTTCCGTTCCCTGCTTTGTCAGAATTGTATATGCAAATGCTTTTTACATTTGTTGTGGTGTGGCTTTCATGACACTAGCTGTTGTTAGTTATGAGCGATTGATTGCAGTTCGACTTCAGGTGAGGTACAATGCTGTGTTCTCCTCAAGTCGTATTCTGAGGTATATGGCATTTATCTGGATACTCAACATTCTTTTTTACAAGTTTGCAGTGGGTTGTGGTAAAGCAGGTTTCAAGAGGTATACATTTGATAGCTTGGTTCATTTGTCTTCTCGTAGCTGTAGTATCAAACATTGGAATCATTTTGAGTTTACGACAGCATTCTCGACGCGTGCAACCCGCCAGTCGTCATCCATCTAAAAAGAAACCAGAGCAAGCGAAGAATATCTAGAGAAGTAAACGTAACAAGAAGCATATCATTCATCGTTGCAGTTTACTTGATGTTTAATATACCAGTTTTGTTTGTGACAATTTATCATCAGATATTGGGTAGAGATATCAAGACTTATAACCACTACAGCTGGTCAGAAACTCTTGCTTTTCTCAACTCGTGCACAAATCCATTGGTGTGTTGTTGGAAAAGTCGCGAAATCCGTCAGGCGGTGAAAGCAGTATTAGACAGAATTTTCTGCAAATAGAATACTTTTAAGATTGGAGCTCGAAAGAGATGTCAAGAGTTAAAACCACCACAGCTGGATGGTTTTTCTATTCTCAGCTTGCAGCTGATGTGTAGTTGGAATTACAAATTCCGTCGAGTGGCCAAAGAATACGTAACTAAGTATCTCGAATCCCGTCCATTTGAGAGAAACGAAAATACAGTTTGAAACAGGATTCAGCTTGGTCAGTGGTCTTCGTAGTAATTTTTGCAATTACTGAGTTGATGTTATTTTTCGTTACTGCGCAACTAGACACTTGATAACCATCCATCTCCCAAAAAATGTTTGTTTTGATACGTCCTATGAGGCTTTTCTACATATGTATAAACGATGCAGTTAATTCAATACACTCTCCCTTTTGGAATGTAGCGCTTCAGACCACAATCCGATAAAAAAAGGAAAACATAGGTACACACGAAACTTTTTCCAAACTAGCCGACATAACAAAGCCCATAATACAAAAGTACAATGTAGTTGCTCCCTTACACCTTTTCAATTGCTAAGCTAGAGAAATAATTTAGACAAACCTGTAAATACGTAGTTCCTCAGTGATTTATACAATATGCCTGTGTAGGCGAAAGAGCACGTGCAACGTTTGTTTAACTGACAGAACTTTGTCTCGGAATTGAAAGAGATATCTGCAAAATGTGTAAAATCTGGCATAAATTACTTCCTTCGCGAGAGGGACTCCTTGACAGACATTGGATAATAACATTAATTTAATAATTTTAATAATTTAATTTTTAATTTTAGGGCACTCCATTAGAATGCTTGACTCCGACTGGTCCCCAAAAGCCTGTCCCTTTGCTGGAGTTGATTTCTTACACAAGGCCAAACTTTCTGTTTTTACCTGTTACCTTAAATTAAGGTTACTTCCCACCTTCGCGAGTGTCCTTCGTGAAAAATTCGCACGCGCGCTAGTTTCACTAAAATGCTAGCAAACTATTTATCAGAAGAAAGCTTAAAAACTGCAGTTTACGATGAAAATATAATTTAAGCGATTTTTTTCTTTAAGGAAATGTCAGGGGCCGGTAAGCCGTGAAACGACCGAAGGTTCTTCTATCTAATTTATCGGGTATCAGACGCCACAGCACAAGCAGGCTGCACAGTCTCATTCACAAGGCATCAATCAACAAAAGTGTGTCACGCATTTTCGATATTCTGATTGTTTATCGAGATATCGGCATCTAAAGTTGGAG